TTAGTTTTTAACATTTATTTCAGTCAGTTATGTGCCATGCGTGATACACGCTTAGGCGATCATGTATCTTTCGATACATGACTGACGAGGCAGATGTTTTCCGCAGTAGGTTGCCATTTATTTCTGCCGTAGACCAGTTGCCATCCAAGGCTATAGAACCCGGCCTGTCCTGCTACTCACCCATAGCTGGGAGGAGAAGAAGACGATTCATACCTTTCCCAAGGGTATTAGCACGTAAGTGAAATGTAATGGATTCAACTGGAATTCGAACTCCGATTCCTCAATCCGAGCTGCTATCCATTACTCCACGGTGCTCTCCTTTGCCCTAGGCAGTGAAATTAGTACACACTATTGGTCATTGCTAGTTTATATTTGATGGGGGTTATTTTGATTAGTGACAAAGTTTGCCGTTTTCTATTTTCTGTAAGTTTACTGGAAATTAAGGCAGAAATAATGATTTTTTTTGTGTAGCAAATTCTTCCTGCTTATTTTTTTAAGCATTTCAAGCCACAAGCACGCAAGGGGTTACAGAGAGTGAGAGTAAGAGTAAAGTGGCGTGATAGACGAAAGGATGAAGAGAAGGACAGGGAATAGATCAAGGCATCTGGGGATGTCGATTGACATTACATTTGAATAGTTAGAGATTGTATCTATCAGGGAAACAATTATAGACAGGAGGTGCGAGACATGAAGCCATTGGAGTAGAAGAGATGGCTACAGTTAATCGTTTCGACAGTGAAAGGGTGAGGCCGTGATGCCAGCCTAGTCACAAGTTTAAATTAATGCAGTCTGGGAACTAGCGAAAGTAGTTCGTCAGAGCAGTTACTGTAAACGTATTTTTAGAAAAGACAGATGATGGCGACGGAACGTCTGTGAAAGAGTGACTGTAGACGAGATGCCAGATCAGGGCCAATCACATTGTATATCCGTCTCTGGATTTTGTCGAGGACCTTAAGGCGAACAGCGAGGACACCAGATCATATATGGCAACAGTATTCTATGCAAGGGCGAATAGTTGATTTATAAATTTCAAGGATGGACTCGGCCGAGAAAAAACTTTCTGGAGCGACACAGGGTACCAACTTTCCTTGTGATAGATGAAACTATTGATTTAATGTATTTGTTCCATCTCAGGTATAATATTGTGCATCTGATTGCAATAAAATATGGTGATGTTTTGTTGTGTGGTATTTTTATTACTGGTTTCATGTATTTTTATAAGAATAATTTTATTTGTTTATCAATGATGTGGTTGGGAAATTTATTGTTGACTAATGTTTGTTTTATGTGTTTAATTCGCTCAGAAATATTCTTTGAGAAGAGGAATTTAGGTGTGCTCTATTTAGGAAGTATCTTTTATGAATGCTATTTTATATCTTTCCGGGCATTGGCTATCGTAGTTTAAAAGATAAGAGTTAGTACTGGTTTCTTTTTATACTGGTAGGTGGTAAATACTTTGGATTTTAGTTCTATATTGACGTCAAGGATTTTGTTATTAACCATGAGATTTTTTGTAAAGATGAGATATAAATCTTAGCAGTGATTTTTTTTTTTAAGTTGATTTTAGACTTATAAATTTGTCCTTATTTTTTATCAAAACAAAAATGTCGTCAATGTACCTTGTGAAGATTTGTGGTGTCATTTGTTTAAAACTCTTTGTTTTCAGTGACACATGTAATACTTAGAGAAAGCAGGACCTAATGAGTTTACCATGTTGATGTCTTTATTTTGGATGTAGGTGTGGCAATTATGATCATAGAATGGGGCTTTCGGTGGTACAGGGGAGGAGTAGTTTTCGAAGAGCTGCTGGTCGAAGTTTAAGAGCAAGGATTTACAGGTGTTTGTAGATACAGTCAATAATTATCTTGATTGTTTCTTCAACTGGAACGTTGGTAAAAATATTTTCAACATCGAGCGAATCTAGTCTCCTACTTGTGGGATTTGTTGCTTTTAAGATATGGAGGAATTCGTTTGTTGATGCGATGCTGTAATTGTTGGATGTGTTTGGCGAAATTATAGCATTTAGGGTTTTTGATGATTGGTATACTAGTGTATGTATTTGTAATATGATAAGTCGGAGTGGAAAACCTGTTTTTTTTTTGTTTTTTTTTTGCGTTACCGTATACATATCCTGCTTCGTAATTAGCGACAATTTATTGATTTTTAGGCTTCCGATCTCAGCGTTGTTTACTGTAATTAGTTTGTTTACGTATCTTTTTAGTGATTCTGTGGGATTTTCTTTAATTTTGTGAGATTATAATTTTTGGTTGTAATCTTGCCGGTTAAATAAAAAGTAATTGTTTGTTTTGCTAGCGAGTCTGTTGATGTTGTGGTTGTTTATATTGGATGTATATACATTATATTAAACGTTATTTTTAGAGGATATCCATATCTGAGTAGATGCTCTGTTTACTTATTAAACAGTATATTTTATTTATTTACATCTAGCGGCCTGAAATATATATATATATATATATATATATATATATATATATATAAAAGTGAACATTGAAGTCAACATTCAGAAGCGACAGACTGTTTCATGCTAGAAGCAATCATCAGGCCATGTGTGTTGGATTTTTTCTCGGTTATATGTATATACGGGTCAGTGGTGCACCACTGACCCGTATATATAAATAACCGAACACACGTGGTCTGACGATTGCCTCTAGCATGAAACAGTCTGTCGCCTCTGAGAGTTGACTTCAATGTTCACCTTTTATATTCACATACACTCTATCTCTGATATTGAGCACTTTATTCCATAAATATATCACACCTTAAAACTACATTTTTCTTATATATATATATATATATATATATATATATATATATATATATATATATATAATTTCTTTCTATTTTTCTCCTCCGTTTTTCTCTTCCTTTCTCCTATGACCACCCCCTCATATCCATACTTACACTACTTTGCTTTTATTTGCTTTCTTTTTTTTCTCTTCCCTTCTTTCTTACTCTGTCTGGCCACTTTTTTCAATAAGTTATCACCTATTGACTGGTTTGAAAAATCCTTGTAAATTGAGAAATTTACAAGGTGAAAATGATCATTAACCTAATGCAATCTTAATTTCTATTTATATATATATATATATATATATATATATATATATATACCGAGCGTAACAGCAAAATTGTCCAAATCGTGTAACAGCATAATTATCCATCACACAAAATGTTTAATATCTAAAAAAAATAAAAATAAACTAATTGAGTTTCTTCTTTTTCCAGATTTTCAAATAAGACGTTTAGCCATCTTGATACCATTTTTCGTGAGAATCCTTTGACTTATTCAGCTAGAAATAGATCAGGTTAAAGTCCATTCAAGAACCATCAAGAGAATGGTGAATAAGTTTTAAAAAAAGAGCGAACAGTAGAGAGGAAAACTGGATCAGGAGGTCACAGCAGGAAGAGGGGGTCATCATTTCAACTTAGAGCTAAAGAGATCAATTAGAAAAGATCCAACTCAACCCATAAGACGTTTGGCACGTGAGAGAGGAGTTTCACCTATGACAGTTCAAAGAGCAGTAAAAAAAAGACTTGAAAATGAAATCGCACGTGAAACCTGTGTGGCACCTTGTTGCTCCAAGACAGAAAATTAGGTTACAGAGGGCAAATAGCAACTTGAATAAGTAGGAAAATGATCTTGGAATATATATTACAATACTTCAGGAGCTTCCAATCCTTAGCTAAATTAATTAATGATGAACGTGTTATTTTCGTTTATGATCAATTCTATCACGATACTTCTGTTAAGCTTAGATCTTAATTGTACATTCTTATTGATCAAATTAAGAGTTCAGTAGTGTTATAAAAAGCTCGGAGAATTCGAGTAAGATATCTTTAATCATTTCTATGATACAATGGTTCAGAGATTAATCTAACAATTGGAAAATTTTGCTGTTATACAATCTGGACAATTTTGCTGTTACACCCTCTCTGTGTGTGTGTGTGTGTGTGTGTGTGTGTGTGTGTGTGTGTGTGTTTCAAGCATGAGAGAAACAGTATTTTGAATGCTGATTTTCAAGGCAGGTTAATACACCGTTACTTTGTGTATTTGGCGCAGCATAATCTTATTTTCGCTTAAAGTTCGTAAATATGAATGATATTATTATTAGAATGAATCAGTAAGTTTTATCTATATTTATCTAGATAAGAGCTATTTTTTCTATATATTTATGTATATAAAAATTTTAATTTTTATTCTTTTTCATGGCCATTACTTAAATTTCATAGGACTAATTATAATAATAATAATAATAATAATAATAATAATCTTCTTCTGTTATCTGCCGGGTTTCTTTTTTTCATGATTTCACCCAAAGCAAGGCGATAACGCTACGAGGACATGGGGTTACAGGGACTGAAAGATGGATTCATTGATTTGTTTTCTACGGCTTATCAACCCTTTGCAGGTTATTTAAAGCCAGCAACTATTTTTAGATTGTAAGAACTTGGGGTGGGGGAGATCATACGGATTTCAGGGAAACAAGTCTTACTAATTAACCTATACCTGGGGAGAGAAGTGGTTGACATATACCTAATCAGAATTTAAGAAACAAATAAATTATAAAGTGGGGTATCAAATCTATATTACAATCAATATATAAACTGATCCTCCAATTCGTGGCCAAGGTAGTTTCCATAGATTTATATCCCAGGGAATCTAAATTAATCTAAAAAACATGCCTATTTAGCTAATCAGTATTTCATTGATTGAATGATTTATTTTCTACGGCTTATCAACCCTTTACAGGTTATTTAGCAACCTTTTTTTAGATTCTAAGAATCTTTTTTGTTGATAATAATGATTTAGTGATACAAGTCTTACTAATTAACCCATAGTTGAGGGAAGGAAGTGGATTTATACCTCTCCCAAGGTTATTGATGTTAAGTTAATATAACGGACCCAATTGAAATTGGAACTCGGCTCTCCGGTTAATAATTTCGAGCCATTATCTATTACACCACCCGCACACCCAAGTTTACAGCAGGTGGTATTCCCAACCAGTCACCTGTCTAGGTACTAACCAGACTCGATGTTGCTTAACTTTGGTGATCGTACGGGAACCAATGTTTCATTACTATATAGCTGTAAATTGGGATTGAAATAGAAGACTTTAGTGATGAGAAGTGAGGAAAGAATCATAAAATAAGAGGGTTCCAAAAAGACAGATGGTGTTTGACATTGCATTTAAATTTTTAAAGATTGTAGATGGTAAGGAAACAAAAAATCGGGAGTTCCACCGGTGAGAAGTGTGAGAAAAGAAACAGAAGAGATGGTTGCATATAATTAGTTTAATAGTGAAACGGCGAGACCTAATGACCAATCTAGTAGAAGACTTCAATTCATGCTGTTGGGACACTAAAGCTCATCAGAACAATTGTCTTGAAAATATTTATGGAAAAAGACACAGGGAAGCCACGTCACGTCAGTGAGAAAGTGACTGAAGTCGAGATGCCAGGTCAGAATTACATTACATTACAGACCCTTCTTTGGAATTTGTCAGGAATCTTGGGATATACACCAGGAGCACAAGACTAGATATGGCAACAGTATTCAATGGACGGACGAACGGTAGATTTATAAATGTGCAAGATGGATTCTGACAAAAAAGTTGTTTTTTTTTCTGGCATAACAAATTAGTCAACTCTCTTAGCAGTAGACTTCACAAGATATGGGCTGTGCTTGTGAGAATTATTTTTTTTATTCCCTGGAGAGATGGTGCACCAGGGGTTTTGTTGATTTGTTGTTGAGTTCCTTTCTTTATCAGACCCAAAGCTCCAGCCACAACAGGAACAGTTTTAGTTTCAAGTAACACTTTTTTTCTATTTCAATGTCCAGGCCTTTATTTTTCAAAAGCCTTTGCAGAGGTGTTTTTGGCAACGGGAAACCACTTCACAATGTTTAATAAGAAGGCATGACAATTGACAGATAATAAAGAAAAATGTATCGAGATTCGTGATCACCGACACCCCGAAGAAATATAGCCGTAAAAGTTAGTAGGGTAGACTAGGTGGATAGTTCTAAAAGAGTCCAAATCAAGGGAAATTAATGCTTACGACAATAACATTATTATCAAAGACAGAAAATAAAGAAAATGCACATTGATCACAGGATAAGGGCTGTGCAGGGTAGAAGTATTTTTTTTTATTTCCTGGAGAGTTGGTGCACTAGGGATTTTGTTGATTTGTTGTTGAGTTCCTTTCTTTATCAGACCCAAAGCGCCAGCCACATCAGGAACAGTTTAGTTTTTTTAAGTGCAACATTTTCTCTATTTCCATGTCCTGAACTCTTTGCTTAGATTTTGCAGAACGTTTTCAGAGTTTTTTTGTCACCAAGTAACAAAACCCACATCACTTGAGGACTATCAACAATAGCATACCAACTTGTTTGCTCCAGTAACTGCCAGTGGAATATATATACAATCCATCAGTAAAGATGCTGGAAAAATGGTCAGTTCCTTTTGCTGCCTCAGAAAGTATCTGACTCCTCCTGGTGTGCTCTATCTTTACAAGAGTCATATTAGACCCCAAATGGAGTACTGCTGCTATATCTGGGCTGGAGTTGCTCAATAATTGTCTTCCAGCCTTGATAGAGTTCAAAAGCATCTATGCGTCTAACGAATTTGTCAGGTTACCTCTTCTTAATTTTCGAAACTGCTCCTAGGGGACGCTCTCAGGACTATAAATACTCTGCGATCATTTTTATCACTCTCTGCTTACTTTTTCCGCTTATTCGTCAACATGTAACCTTTCGCGAAGAACGCGTTTTCCCTTTGGGAAACGCAAGAACAATAAATACATACACACAAACGTACGTACGCACATTCACTCACGACACATACTTTGAAGCTAAAACGATTTTCACATTCATTTGTTACACACATTATTGTCTTTGTCGCTTGTATACCTTTGTTGCTAATAAATTATCATTTGTTTGTACATATATATTGGTTCTTGTTGTTTCTTTGCATTTCTTTACGTGGACTCACATTTCGAGTCCGCTATGTTTGTTGTGGGCATTTCAGGAGACAACGTGTTATTTCTCAATTCAAACACCGACGTAACTAACCCTTGCAATGAGTTGGGAAACACATACAACCACCCTCAAAAAATTATTTTCGCCTCTACAACACCTTTCCCGCAGATGAAACATCACAAGTCTCTCCCAACGCTATCGTATTTCCAGAGCAACCGTTCTGAACAGCTACATTCTTTAGTTCCATTAGTTCACACCTTAACAACTAGGACTCGGCATATTACGTAGACTGAGACAAACCCTGTCCATCCCCTTTGTATTCCACTAGTAAGGAAGAAGTTCCATTCAGACAGCTTCTGTCCAAGAACTATACTTTGTGGAACGGACACCTGAGGAGATGCTTTCCCGATCCTTACGATTGTAAGCTCTTTAAATCAAAGGTTAACTAACGTTTATCTATCCTACATATCCTCATAATCTACACTTCTAATTTCTTCATCTTACATTCAGTCAGTTATGTGCCACGCGTGATACACGCTTAGGCCAGGATCTATCTTTCGATACATGACTGACAAAGCAGATTTTTCCCCGCAGAAGGTTGCCATTTCTTTCTGCGGTAGACCACTTGCCATCCAAAGATATAGAACCCGGTCTGTCCTGCTATCTACCCATAGCTGGGAGGCAGAAGAATAGGATTCATATCTTTCCCAAGCACGTGAGTGACTGTAATGGATTCGATTGGAATTCGAACTCGGCTCTCCGATTCCTTAATCACAGCCGCTATCCATTACTCCACCGTACCATCAATCTTGCATTCATACAACATTAATCAGTAACACTCTACCTTAAGTGGCGCTTGGGCCTTGTATTTGTGAACGATTAGCAAAAAAAAAGTTTACTGGTTTTCTTTCTTCATAATATATGGATAAAGCATAGCACTACAATGGTAAACTGACAGTGGATCATCCAAGTGAAGGAAATCTGCTTGCATGGGCAAATAGGATTCGATCTTTGCTCATATCTATTTTTTAATTTTGGTCCCCTTTTCTTTACCATGCTCGGCACAGAAGATTGACAGACACGGGAAAACACGAGGGAATGATAGAAATCAATGCTGAGTTTATTGGTGGTCTGCATTGTAATATGTGAAACTATTTACAAATAAATACAGGAATCCTTTTAAAGAGTCGAAAATGCGGCATTCTCATTCCAGAACTTTATTGCCATAGTTTATTTGCAGGCGATGCGAAATGATTTTTGGCCCAGGTAAAGCTGAAGAATAGTTTGGTATTTTTCGTATTAGATTGTAACTTTCTCTGGAGTTGCATTGTTATCCATTTGAAAGATTCCAATAAAAAACAGACTTCATAGACATAAATGTGAGAAAATGATAAATAGAATTCGACAAACATTTAATTATTCTTGTTAAGCGTGCAAGAGAAAGAGAGAAACAAGAAAAACAGAAAAAGACAAGGAAAAAAGAAAAAGGAGGAAAAGAGGAAAACAGAAAGAAAAAATTAAACGCAAAAACACAGAAGAAAGAAAAAAAGAAAGAAAAAAAGAAAGGCGAAAAATATAAAGACAAAAAGAAAGGAAGAAAAAAGGAAAACAAAGAAAAAATGAATGAGAAACGCGAAAGTGGGAAGAACATAGAGAAAGACAGAAAACTAGAAAGAAAGAAAAACAAAAAGAAATAAAGAAACTAGGAAAAGAAAGAAAGAATTAAATGAGAAAACACGGAGAAAGAAGGAAGGAATGATGAAAAGCAAGAAAGAAAGGAAAAACAGAGAAGGACAGAAAAATAGAAAAAAAAGGGGAAGGAAAAAGGATAAAACAGAGAACGACAAAATAAACGAGAAAACGCAAAGGGAGAAAGAAAGCAAAAGAAAAGAGAAAAAACAGGGCTGAAGAGAGAAAATGAAAACAGGAAATACAGAGGAAGAAACAAATAAACGAGACAAAGAAAGAAAAAGAAAGAAAGAAAGAAAGAAAGAAAGAAAGAAAGAAAGAAAGAAAGAAAGAAAACATGGTTGTGGTGAAGGGAGAAAATGAAAACAGGAAATACAGAGGTAGAAACAAATAAACGAGAAAAATACAAAAGAAAGAAAGAAAGAAAGAAAGAAAGAAAAAGAAAACATGGTTGTGGTGAAGGGAGAAAATGAAAACAGGAAATACAGAGGTAGAAACAAATAAACGAGAAAAATACAAAAGAAAGAAAGAAAGAAAGAAAGAAAGAAAGAAAGAAAGAAAGAAAAAGAAAACATGGTTGTGGTGAAGGGAGAAAATGAAAACAGGAAATACAGAGGTAGAAACAAATAAACGAGAAAAATACGAAAGAAAGAAAGAAAGAAAGAAAGAAAGAAAGAAAAAAGAAAGAAAGAAAGAAAATATGTTGGTTGTGAAGAGAGAAAATGAAAACAAGAAATACAGAGGTTGACAAAAATATAATCTTTATATAGGAAATTAAAAAATCGTAGGGATTCAGACAAATAACAGAATGAATAAAAAAGGATAAAAAAATAAAATAACACGTAAGAAAATAAAAAATAAATAAAAGGGAGCCAAAGAAAGAGTCAAAAAAAAAAAAACGAAAAAAGCGAAATAGATATATAAAATAAATAAATAGGGTTGAACGGTCTTGAGATTCGCTCGGAACATCAAAACAATGATCAAGCAAGTCTGATATTTGATCCCAGCAGCGTTTCAAATTGACAGTCTTCTTTCAAAAAGCTTGCTTAAAAAGTAATGCGTCTATGAATGGGATTTATTGTAAGTGAACCTGCAAGAAATAATACGCATGCGCATAAAAGATTGCACTGATGAACACAAAAGTCTGCAGATGGGGAAAGTCAAAAGTGCTGAAAGGTTATTAAAAAAATATACCGATTATTATTATTGCTACAACTACAAAATACGCACACACGCACAAACCAAGCGAGGTGAGGAGGACTTACTACGCATGCCTGAACAGCCAGTCGACCAATCTTCTATGGGGTTACTCACTGAACAGTGTGACGTCATCGAGTGAGCGTGTGTACTGGGTGACCCCGTGAATAGATTTTTTCTTTCCGTTTCATGCAATGACATTTTTGTCGGTGAGAGAGAAGTAAAGGGTTGAATCACCCAGAGTGGCCAATCTCTCTGCGGTTGGGATTTGGTTCCATGCGACTTTTGGCTTTTTAATACCAAAACTAAAAACAATCTTGAAACATTTTGAACGAGATTAAGGAGAACGTGAAGTCGCAGCTGATTGCAAGAAAGAAAGACAAGCATTCAAAGAAAGAAAAGAAAGAACGAGAATAAGACGAGAAAAAAGAAAGAAAGAAAAGCGTTCAAGAAAGAAAGAAAAATGAAAGGAGGAAAAAGGAAAGAAGGAAAAGAAAACAAGCATTCAAAGAAAGAGAAAGACGGAAAGAGAAGAAGAAACGACAAAATGGGAAAAGATGAAAGGAAAAGAAACGAAACAAAATGAATAGAGCGTTGGTAACAGTGCGTGAGATCCAAAAATAAATACACCGAAGGGAACTAAGGCAGTATTCTCTGAAGCAGGTTATTTTTCGCTAATATTAAATGGCTGGATAATTTCAAGACAAACAAGCGAGAGAAGAAACTGTTAGCACAGAACTTACGGCTACACCTATCCGTTTACAACGGTAAATTGATGAGATCTCGACGCCAGTGTAGTACTGCACTAAAATTGATGAAGTCTATGTACCATAGCGGATAGCTTATCCTAACAATTACCATGAGATATTTATAGAAAAGGCACAGAGAGGCAACTTTACAACTGTAAGTAACTGTAGCCCTGCCGCCAGATAATATTACTGATTCTTCTTTGGATCTTAGCAAAGAGCTCTAGGTGAATAGCAGGGGCACCGGGCCATATATGGTAACAATATTCTAAACATGGACGAATGGCAGACTTATAAAATAGATGACCACTCGTTTTCAAGTATGCCCAACTGCTAGAGGAAAAGAAACCGCCATCAATAATGAAAAGAGCAATAACAGCTACTGGACTTGAAAAACCTGTTTTCCTGCAAAATTGTTTCAAGACAAATATTTTATAAATTTCAACCTTGCTGCTCGGTCAATAAATGCAAAATGTTTCCTTATAAGGAAACGGATAATATTGCCATTATCATTACGAAACTTATTTTCAATATAAACACGACAATCGCTGGAACACGACTGTAAAAACGTGAATAAATTAGTTTGATCTTTATTTATCATATATATTTACTCCCTTTCATTCCAATTTATTGTTGTTTTCTTGCCTGCTGATGAATCACAACATGACTAGCAATTTCGTTTCATGCCAGATTCTTCTTAGTGTTTTCCGGCCATTCTCTCATTTTTTTAATGTTATTTGCAGGATGGCTGTAATATAACACTTATATAAGGTCACGTGTTAACAATCATACTGTCACCACAAAAGTAATTCAAATCAATCCATTGATGCTGATGAAAGCTTTCACAATTGCGTAAAACTATGCAGACCCCAAATGGTTAATTCTTGCTCTTTTTATCTTTTAAAGAAGGCATTACATATTTTAATGTGTTTAGTTTAATCTTTCATGCGATGAGATATGTTTCATCAAATGCTATAGATTATGCGCGTGTATGTATATGTGGCCATAATCTATGGAAATAAAATAAAAAAACTATTTGACAACAGACTGAATAATTAATCATTGACCGTTTATGAAGCAAAAAGGATATTCCTACGTCAAACAAAGCATTGTTGTTCGTCGGCAATTTGTAATATGAACAGATGTTGTTGCTTTGTATAAAAGATTTTTTTTAAAAAAGTCCTTGCTGACATGGGTGTGCAAGCGGATGCTCACCGACATAAACATATGGGTTGACGATACTGTGGGCGATAATATAGAATTTCATTGCGATTCCGAGAAAAATAAATAAATAAAATTCAAACAAAAACAATTGTTTTCCCCCTGTTCATTGACTTGTATCTTTCAACAACACACGAGGATCCACCGAAAGATTTGGTGTGTACAAAAGGCACCGTAAGATATATTAGGTGTGTACAAAAGGCACCGTAAGATATATTAGGTGTGTGCAAAAGGCACCGTAAGATATATTAGGTGTGTACAAAAGGCACCGTAAGATATATTAGGTGTGTACAAAAGGCACCGTAAGATATATTAGGTGTGTACAAAAGTTTCTGGAACTCTGTTATAAAAAATAGAAACTGAATATAGTCGTTTTCTATTCAGTTTACTTTGGAACAGGTCTTTGAATTACGTTTTTGTCATATAGGGAGAAAATGAGTAACTACCGACATTGAGGTTCGAACGTGACACTCTGGACTTATGAATATATGTTTTCCGCAAGGTGTATAAATAGCGGTGTCAGGCTACTGACTGGAGTGATTATTGAGTACCTACTGAATTGAACTATCCAGTCGAATTAGTGTGAATTATTGTGCGTCGATGATTTCGGTTTTGATTTAGGATTTACCGAACATTAAACCGAGCCGCGCTACTAAAAAATTATTCACTGAAAAGGTTAATTATCTTTGGTTGACTTTTACTTCTTTGTTCATGTTAAGTATTTATTTGCAGTTGTAATTAAATACTGTTTTATTTCAACATTGATGTATTGAGTTATACTTAATTATTAACGGCCATCGTACTTCACAAAAATATTGTTTATAGTTGACGTGCATTTGGCTTTTGTAGAAAATAAGTTATCTTTGTGTGCTCAGGATCATTGTTATTTTAGGTGATAATGTTAGCTGTTTTAAATTTTTTATAGTAGTAGATAATTAATTTAATTTTTTTCGTTTGGGAGGGTGTATTTATGATATTTCTAAGTAAAGATTCTTCTTAATCATATAGGAAGAAAATGAGTAACTAACAACGCCGAGGTTCGAGCGTGGCACTCTAGACTAATGGATATATGTTTTTCGCCAGGTGTATATGAAGAGCGGTGTCAGGCTACTGACTGGAGTGATTATGAGTCACTACTGAATGGAACTGTCCAGTCGAATTAGTGTGAATTTTTGTGCGTCGATGATTTGTGTTTTCATTTTTAATTTACCGGTCGTTAAACCGAGCCGCGCTACTAACAAGGTATTAACTGAAATGGTTAATAATCTTTGGTTGACTTTTACTTCTTTGTTCTTGTTAAGTATTTATTTGCAGTTGTAATTAAATACTGTTTTATCTTAACATTGAAGTATTGAGTTATACTTAATTATTAACGGTCACCGTACACTACAAAAGTTTTTAAGCACGATTTCTATGTTTTACAGAAACCGGAAAGGGTTTTTTGTTTTGTTTTGTTTTGTTTTAGAACTAGTGTAGGTTGGCGTAATACAGTGGTGCAGCTTAAAATTCACTAATATTCTACAGGTTGCGGGCAGAAATACCGCCCACTAGGGCCTGCTCAAGTTATTGGCAACTCAGTCAGTCGCCCGAGACGCCATCAATGCCGAGGACGCCATCATGCTACCATGGCATGTGTTTGGGAACTTCCAAAACTAAAGCTTATAAAAACATACTTGCGGTCGTCCATGACTCAAGACAAATTAAATTCTTTGGCTATTCTGTTAATAGAAAATAATCTTGTAAAGAAGATAGGTGTAGAAAAGGCCATGAAAAAATTTGCAGATCTAAAGGCTAGAAAAATGTTTTAGGTTGGATAATGAATGTTTTCTTTAACTTGTATTAAGTTGAAATAACGTCGTTATTCTATATTTTTAGTTTTTCTCCTTGTGAAAATTTTTAAAAATTATGAATACTTGTAAGGGCGCCGAAGTTCAGGTTGCTCGGGGTGCCTGCAACCCTAGGACTGTCACTGCCTCTACATATACCCACCAGAAATACCACCCACATAATGATAAGACATTAGCTAGATGAAGACACTGCCACTAATGTTTTACTATTACGTGGGAGGTATTTCTGCTTCACCTTGTATTAGCAGCAACAAGGAAGTTTATACTGCCATAAAACTTCCTCGTTCTGTCCCAGTTATTTTTATCATGTAGACAATTTAGAAAACCTCCGGTTGTTGCGTTTACTTTCACCCAAAATACTTTTATGAAAGCTATAGGCTAAATAGCACGCTAGGTTGGATCCCCCCCCCCAGTCTTGTGTAACAATCAGTCTAGGAGAAAGGAAAAACTGGAATTCCAAACCGTGAAAAAGGTAACGGCAAAACACTACTATATTTCCCAAGAAAGCATAGTAATTCACAGATAATAAAGAAAAGAAATATATGGAGAATTACGATTGCATACGTTCAAAAGGGACATGGTATTTTAAGAAGAATTCTTTTGTATTTCATCTTCAATATGTAACCAGCCCCTTGTAATAATCTACGAATGATACAGAAATATATTAAGCGATTATAAATCAATAAACCAATACATAGTAGAATATTGGACGTCTACTAATTCTGATTAGTATTTGGGGGCATCGAAAAAATGTTGTAATTTTATGGTCTAAGACAGGCATAAACAAGATTTTTCGAGAAGCAAAACTCATGAGATATGACTCATCATTAGGCGGGCCACCTTACTAAAAAAATCTAAGGTAATTTTTCGTTGAAAAATTCAGAGAAAGATAGAGAATGGAGAAGAAGCAGAAAGCGAGAAAGACAGAGAGAAAGGCAGAGAACTGTAGAGAAAGAGAAAGAAGACGAAAGAGAGAAATATAGAGAAAGAAAAGGAGAAAATGGAAGAAGTAGAAAACAAGACAGGATAAGAAAGAGGAAGAAGGGGAGAGAGAGAAAGGCTGGGAAAAAGGAAGAGGCAGAAAGCGAGAAAGGCTGGGAAAGATAAAGAGGAAGAAGGAGAAAAAGAGAAATACAGAGAAAGAAGAAGGAGAAAAAAGAAAGAGGAAGAAGCAGAAAGTGAGAAAAGCGAAGAAAGATAGAGAAGGAGGAAGAGGCAGACAGCGATAAAGGTTAAGAAAGATAGAGAGAAAGGCAGAGGACGAAAGAGAAAGAGAGAGAAAGAGAAAAATACAGAGAAAGAAAAAGAGAAAATGGAAGAAGCAGAAAGCGAGAAAGGCTGAGAAAGATAAAGAAAGAGAAAGAGTCAGAAAGCGAGAAAGATTGAGGAAGATACAGAGAGAGAGAGAGAGACTCACACAAAGAGAAAGAGAGAAATGTTGAGAAAGACAGAAAGATAAAGAAAGAGGGAGAATCATAAATCGAGAAAGGCCGAGAAATATAGAGGAAGAGTCAGAAAGCGAGAAAGATTGAGGAAGATACAGAGAGAGAGAGAGAGAGAGACTCACACAAAGAGAAAGAGAGAAATGTTGAGAAAGACAGAAAGATAAAGAAAGAGGGAGAATCATAAATCGAGAAAGGCCGAGAAATATAGAGGAAGAGGAAGAAAGCGAGAAAGATTGAGGAAGATACAGAGAGAGAGAGATACACAGAGAAAGAGAGAAATGCCGAGAAAAACAGAAAGAGAAAGATAAAAAGGAAGAAGCAGAAACCGAGAAAGGCTGAGAAAGACAGGGAGAAAGGGAAAGAATGAAAGAAAAAGAGAAAGAGAGAAAAGCAGATAACGATAGAAAAAGAGTCTATCAAAGACGGAGAAAGATAAAAAGATAGAGAAAGACTGATTGATTTTCTACGACTTATCAACTCTTTGCAGGTTATTTAAAGCCAGAAGATATTTTAGATTGTATGAATTGGAACTCAGCTCTCCGATTAACGATTCCCAGCCATTACCCATTACACCACCTGCACATCCAAGATTACATCACTTGGTATTCTCAAGCAGTCACCCATCTGATGAGGAATGAGAGAAAAGTGTATAGAGAGGAGAAAGTCAAAGAAAGATATAGAGGAAAATGTGAAGAAAAAGAAAGAAAGAAAATCAGGAAAAATAGAGAGAGAGACGAGAGACAAAATACTTCATCGAAAAAAAAAAACATTAGAATTATGTTTTTGTAGCTGAATACGTTAAGACATCGTTCATATAAGACAACATATTTCAGTTTGTAGGAGTTTGCTTATAGTATTTGGTCTTCCCAAGTGGAACCCCATCCAAGTACTAACCCAGCTTGAAACTGCTTAACTTAGGAGACTTAACAAGGATAGGAGTCATTGTCTATATCAGGGTTCAGCAACCTTTTGCTAACTATATACCAACTTAGGGTTTAAAAAAAATATCCACCTATGATTATGTAATAGGCCTTGTAAAATGTATTTAAATTCTCAGAATCATGTTTCACAATTCCAACTAACGTGCTCTAAGGCAGAGGTCGGCAACCTTTTGCTATGTGCCGACTTAGGGTTTTAAAATCATTCAGTGTGCCAACAGCACACGTATTTTTATACAAGTCCTAGTCAATATCCCTTTTCTACAATATATTTTATATAGTAATATATAGTATATATACTTTAGTATATATTAAAATTGAAACAGTTAAATATCTTCTTTGCGTTGTAATAGTTATTGGTTCGGTCATTGTGATGTCATTTGCGGCTGCGTGCCATTGGAAATTGCTTGGCGTGTGGCGTGTGGCACGCGTGCCGTAGGTTGCCGACCCCTGGTGTAAAGGTTACACCCAGAACGAGAAATCGACGAGACGAGTTCGAATTCCTGTCAAGTTAGATACCCTCATTTTCGCACAAGTACCATTAGTAACGATATGAATCCATCTCTTCTCTCCCCAACTCCAGCAATGGAGTAAATAACGCTACAGACTGGAGTCTGTAGCTGTGGTTGACAACCATTCTATCTAGGAGAAGAAGAATACAAAACCCCGCCACCTGAAACCTGAAATTCTAAAAAGAAGGTTAGACACAAAGTGCAACTATTATGTCTGTAAAATAAATTCCTTAGTTCCACCTGTTCTGCTTTTCACGGCTAAGACTCGCCGTGGCACGCCCTATTATGTCTGTAAAATAAATTCCTTAGTTCCACCTGTTCTACCTTTCACTGCTAAGACTCGCCGTGCCACGGCCATTGTAGCGAATCACCTTCATTCCCTTCTCATTTCATTGATGAGATGTAAGTTCCACCCGAGCAGCTCCTTCCTACAAACTGATCCTTTCTAGAATCGATTCCCAACGGGAATACTTTCCGATCGCCACAATTTTGACCTGTTCAAGTCTAAGGTCAAAGGTTATCTTCCGCACATCTCCTCATAAACTATCTCTTACTCTGTAACCTCTACCTCGAGTGACTCTTGGACCTTGTACAGGGTGAACACCATAACAAAAAAGAATATTTTTTGTAGCGGTAATGATATTAATTAGCCCTTTCCTTATAAGGAAACTTTCGACAGTCATTGACCAAACAGTTAGCGTTACTCTCGATTGAAATTTATAAAATCTTTTCCTTAAAACAATTTTCCAGGAAAAGGCAATTCTGTGAGAACTGGAAAAGCTATCAGGATTCATCATTGGCGGCCACAATCTTAACAACATAAGACACGCAGATGATACTGTGTTGATAGCAGATACGGAAAGTAAACTATAAAGTCTCCTACAGAAGGTAGCAAAGGAGAGCGCGAAGAAGGGACTAAGCATAAACTACAAGAAAACAGAATGCATGTTCTTCAGCAAAAAGATGAGCCCAAAATGACAGGTCGGGGATACTAAAATCAAGCAGGTAGAGAAATTTAAATATCTGAGAAGTGTTAGAACAGAGGACGGAAAATGCGACACTGAGATCCGAAGACGTATTGGGATGGCCAACGAGGTAGGGTAATTCCACAATATACCGGGATCACGAACCTAACCTCTCCTTTTCTTCAGCTGCCATGGATTTTTTTTGCTGTAGATACCAAGACTAGTTGTTTTAAAGTTAATAAGCAATCTTCTTTATTAGTATGATACAAGATACAAGATATGAGGGGAGGTAATTAAATGTGTGATTCAACTTTAAATGCCTCTCCTAAAGTCATTTGTTTTAATGGAAGTTATGTATTTTTTTAAGCGAAAACAAACAATATTTTTCTAAAAATGAAAAAAAAAAAAACGAAAACTGCAAATGTCAAAAGCAAAAACGGATAATCGCAATACTAAAGTGCAATATATTTTATTTACTTATTTCATTTTTCGACTGTATTTTCCACACTTGAAAATACAAGCACTCCCAATAATTTCTTAATGGGAAGGCTTGGCCACTGTAATTAGTGTTTAATTAATAATTTCATTTTGCTTATTTATTTGATATATGCCCGCAGCTGTGTAAAGAAGAACGCATGTAGATCTCGCAAGCCATTGAGAGTAAACCTGATTCTTAGTAGCTATGGGACTTAGCGCCAAAATATCTGATTTTTAAAAAATTTTTTTTTTAGAGGGTGGGGGTCATGTACATCATTGGTTCTCAACCTTTTCTATTCATAGTCCACTTTTGATTAATGAGTTGTTGTTTTTTTTTGGTGGTGGTGGTGGTGGGGGGGTCTTTATGCACCCCCCTCCTAGCCTTTAACAAAAGCTCATTTTACAATTTCCGGAAAAAATAAACGGTGATATTTCTCCATATAAAATTTTAAAAATGCTTGCTTTAAAAACCAAACCAGTTAAATGAAATAACATATATTTCAGAAAAAAAAAGCTCATTTGACAAATAAACAGGGATATTTCTCCATATAAACTTCGAAACTACTTGTTTTAAAAACCTGACCAGTTAAATGAAATAACATATATTTAAAAAAAAAAAATGTTCTGCTCATAAATGCAGACACAAATTTTAAAAGTTCCGCAAAATAAAAAAAAAAATTAAGTTATGCAAATTAAAAAAAGTTCCGCACATAAATTTTACATAAATGCAAACGAGAAACATAAAAGATACTTGAAAATTATTTTATTACATAATTTAAGTTTATTAGAATTAAAATTTAGAGGGCAACTTGTGGTTCCTTTCATTGTACTTGTGACCCCCCAAATCCCATTTTTTTTCTGCGGACCCCGGTTAAGAACCACTAAATATTTGAATACGGTTGAAGAAATACTTTTGACCCGGACCTTTGACCTTTGGCATTAAATCGGAAAATGATTCAACAATTCGTAGATGGCGATTAAGCCGAGAAAAGCAAGTTCTGTTTTTCAGCGGCTGACGAGATATCTCTTTAGGACATGCGCGATCATGGCTCTCCAAAACCTCCTATACCTTGTGACCCGTCGGAGTTTTTCCCTTTTTGCTAAGCTTCTCGTTCCCCGTCCGGCCATGCATTCACATGAGCTCGTAAGGTATCTGCCTCGCTGCTTTCGCCTCTCTTGCCTTCAATATGCCCTCCTGTGACGGTTAAGTTTTCCAGGCCCTTCTACCTCATTATATATCCAAGAAATTTCAGTTATCTTTTCCTGGTTCTGAGTAAAAAAAATTTAGCCATTTTCTTTAAGACTTTCTCGTTGCTTAACTGCGCCGTCCATAGAATTCTCATTATCCTTCTGTAGAAGCACATTTCTGTTGCGTTCAGTTTTTACCCTTCATCTGTTGGAAGATTGTCCAACATTTACTGGTATATAAGAGGATGTATATCACATAGTAATCCAGAATTCTTTTTTTTGTTTATAACGAAATTGTTGTGTTTCCCAATACTGTACCTAACTTTTGGAATATCTCTTTCACTTGTCCAATGTGTTATATTAAACGTATAGTAGCAGTACAAAGAAGAAACAACTGTATTCACGTAAAACTCAACAAATGATAAATTGGTGTAAATGTCTCTCGAAGAAAAAAAGGAGATAAGTAAAAGGCGTCCGTAGAGGCGTACGATAGGAGAGAGAGAAAGAGTATGAATTGTAACTTAGTAAGTTCACGGCCTTTGACGAGCTGTCTCTTGGAGATGGGAAGTCATTTTCTGTAATTCCGAGCCAAGATGTCGTTCAACAGCTGAAAATGATCCTTTGATGGACACTTATGTCCTTTCTTAGCCTCAAATCGGCTCCGGTTTTTATTTTGTTACTTTAGGCAGAAGTGGGTGCTATTAGGTGGGAATTCCGAATTGTATTTTTTTTTTTTTTTTTTTTTTGAGCGTGTGAGTAAAATCGGAATGTATGTGCGGAGCCTATGCGCAGTTGACGGAATTTTAGTTCAGTCTTGGGTTTCGGAACGTTTGCACACGGCCAGTGGTGGAAATTACTTTGACATGAATCAGAAGATATGGTTTTAGGAAGAATACAACAGATGTGTTTTCGGATCTTGGTGTTGCATTTTTCATCCTCTATGAAAATGCTTCCCAGATATTTAAACCTTCTGCACTTGCTTGATGTTGACATCTCCAATTTGAAACTCACACTTTTCTCTTGTTGATGACCATACTTTCTGTCTTCTTGCAGTTGATGTTTAGTCCTTTTTTCTCACTTTCTTCTACTACCCTGTCTAGAAGTTCTTGTAGTTGTCCTTCTATGTCAGCCATCAACACAGTGTCATTTGTCTATCTTATATTGTTAATATTACACGCACTGATAATAAATCCTGGTAATGTTTCCAGTTCCCTTAGGATATCATTGCTGTAGAGGTTGAATAACTCTGGGGAGAAGACACATCCTTGTCTCACGGCCCTTTCTATTTTTTAAACGCTATGAAAGCAAAATTAGAAATAAAAAAGTTCCACTT